TTCAGTGCAGGTTGAAGCGGGGAGGCTTTGAGGCTGGGCCATCCATGCTGAGCTCCATGCAGACAAGTGTTCAGCCAGAGGGTGGCACTGGGGCTCGGTCCTTCTGGCCCGCCCTCTGGAATAAGGAGCGCCGCGGGGAAGTGTCTACGAGCCATGCTGAAATTTTAACCAGGGCTCAGTGAGTTTCTGGAAACAGGCTGTCAGTTCCTGGCAAACTTGCCAGGTCTTACTGGTAAATGCCTTTTATTCCTGCTCTGCAGCTGGTCACAAAAGGTCAAGGGATCTATGGTCAGAGGGATAATTTTGGGATGAGAACATAAATCCTGGAGCTAAACCAGTACACTGAACAAGCTACATTCTAATTTCACAAGTAGTATCTGCTTGCTTGATCTGGGGTTCTTTAAACAAATCTTTGATCTCATATTGATACAAATAGTAGAAAGGCAAACAAAATTGCAAAGTTGCTGGAACTTAACAACTCACAAAGGACGTGAAATTTGCTTTATCAAAGAAAAAAAACAAGCTGTTTTTTTTTTTAAATGACAGAGAATATATAAAATGTACTCCAAAATTGAATGCCTAGGGAATTTCTCTTTTATGTAACTCCTAGTTAAGGAGTCAATATCTATACCTAGAAAACGAAAAATATAGTAAAGCTTTCCTGGCATGAATGATTCTCAGTCCTGGCTGCTTAAAAGAATCATGCAGGAGCTTGAAAAAAATCCCTGATGTCTGGGTCTCATCCCCAGCGGTTCTGTTTTCCTTTGTCTGGAGTGAAGCTTGAACATCAACATTTGTGAAGCTGCCTCTGTGATTCTGATGTGCAGTCTTGTTTGGGAACCACACTTCCCTAGATGCTATGAGTGGGTCCTAAGCTCCATGGTTTCAGCCAGACAAATGCCATTTATAATTTCAAAGAGAAAATCTACTATGTAACATTTTTATAGGGGCAGCATGTTCTGGGAAAGAAAGGATTAAGCATGGAGTGAAGAGTTGCAGGTTCTGACTTTTGGGTTGTAGCTTAAGTTTTCTGGATCTATATTTCCTTATTAGGAAAAGGATACCATTCAACTGGAAGTTTTTTGGTTTTTTTTTAAGATTTTATTTATTCATTTGAGACACAGAAATACAGAGAGAGAGAGAGAGCATGAGGAGGGAGAGAGGCAGAGGGAGAGGGAGAAGCAGGTTCCCCGCTGAGCCAGGAGCCTGATGTGGGGCTCGATCCCAGGACCCTGGGATCATGACCTGAGCCGAAACCAAAAGTTGGACGCTTAATGACTGAGCCACACAGGCGCCCCAACATTGATATTTTCCAAAGCTGCCCAGGTGATTCTAGGGTGCAGCCAGAATGGAGCATCACTGATGTGTGTTCTTTGTTGAGCCAAAGTCTTTTCAGATAGACGTTGAGATTTGCGTGTGTGTGTGTGTGTGTGTGTGTGTGTAGTGTGTGTGTAGTGTGTCATATATAAATCTGTACGTAATGTGCTTGGGGGTGTAACGCCAGCAGAGAGAGTGGCGGGAATTCATACTCAGCCTCATATTAATTCAGGAACACAGAAGTAATGCAAACACATATGTCCACGCTGTCTTAATTAGTCCCTGCTGGTTGCTCTGTTCACAAAGTGAAGAAGTATTGCCAAATGTCTGGGATTCCAGCCCATTTTAATTCCCTGTTGCCTTCATAGGAATGAAAAAGCAGGTACGATGGCCCGGAACAGAAATAGCACCCAACATTCACACATTGCCTTATAATTCATCTAGCACTTTATGTATATGCTATCACAGAATCCTTACAAGACTGAGATTAATTTTCTTAGCTTTAGGGATAGAAACCTGAGACCTTAAGAATGCAGTCCCTAAACACACAACTAAAAAGTAGCAGATGCCAATATTCTAATCCAAACTTTGTGATGTTGTATTTCTCTTTCCTTCATTTACCTCCTTCATGCATCCACACTGACCCTGCCAAACAATCCTTAGGTGACCAGGTATGGGGGTATGGTTGGATGGGGGAAATACATGACCCCTTTAGGGGTTAAAAGTGACGAGAATGTCGCTGATAGTGTGGGTTTTTCTTCTATATCCCATACAGAGTCAAACCAAAGAGAAGACTGTGTTGTCTTTGAATGCAGGCAGTTAACCTTGGTCAGAGGAAGAGATGCAGGGCACAGGCCAGGTGTGAAATCAGTGTCAAGGGAAGAGATTAGATTAGAGTTAATTCTAGCCTTAACTGATGTCTTGATCCAGAAAAAACAATCTCATTATTCTGGACTTTTCTCTTCCTTTTTTAAAGTCACTGATTATTGTAACTAAAAAGATAATCTTCAAAGTAGCCAGATAGAAAAAGCAAAAGGCCAAAACATAAAGATTCTGTAGAACACAACAGAGCTATCAGGTTTGACCCACAGATTCTATAATTGACTTGAAGAGCCTCAAAATTTTCTGGAAGTTCTTGGATTTTTAAGCTACGGTTTGAGCATCACGTATAGAAAGAAATCGCCATCTGGGGTACAGTGTAATTCTCTGTTCTAATAATTCAGGCACTTCTAAAAGAAATTGTTGCTAACATTTTCATATAACCATGTGATATAATCTAAATTCAGACAGATTCACATCGAAATAAAGCAGCAGAGGAGAATTCCAGGGAACTAGATATTAAAGCATTTTGTGGGGTCAAAACAAGTTTAGAAAAATATGAAAAAGCAAAGTGAAGTTCTTAACATAGTTATAGCATTTAGCACAAGAGTGAAGAGCTTGTGCCAAAATGCCATAATCTAGTTTATACTACATTTGCCCTTTAGAACATGTATTAAAATTTCAGGGCAAGCCATATGGAGAGGTTTGCAAAATTGTATACTGAAAGGTAGGCAGTGTACCTTATTCTCAAATGGCTGTAATGCTTGCCACTTAGAAGGCTAAAATAGTAACAAAATCACCAATTGGCATGAGATATATTTAACACCAAACATTTCCAACTCTCGAATAAAAGTAGTCTATTGAGGCTGGCTTGTAAAAATCATTTTAGAACTACAAAACAATTCTGAGGTTTTAGTCATAATAATACTTAGAGCTTCTTTAAGAAGGATTTGAAGACATCATATTAAAATATAGTGCATAAGTCTAAGCTTCTCCACTAAACACTTGAAAATTAAGACTTACTAGTATGCCACGAGGGCCTGGTTTTATCCCTTCCTTCAACAACCTCCCTCCCCACCTTTTTCTATTTCAAAGGAATCTCTGAGCACAAAAAGTCATGAGGAAATGCAGAAAGTATGAGGATCAAGTTGTTTATTGTGAATGTATCATGAGTATAAATGTGTGACGCCCTACATTTATGAGGCCATTTTAATAACTGCACTATCCATTTCATGTGCCTGATACCCTGTACTGCTATTGGCTAATTGCATGGATATCTTGAGGTCAGATAAATTAAAGAGAAAAAAGAACTCACAAAGATGTGAACTTCTCTTTGCCTCGTTAACGTAACTTACCTTGGAAGGCAGCAAGTGGCCTGAGTTTTTGAATCCTATGATCCTATAACTCATTTGGATCCCAGCGCTGCACTCACCAGCTGCCCATTTATAAATGGGACAACAGTGCCTACCTCACTGGATGGAGGTGAGGCTTAAACTGAGCTAACACATATCAAACTCCATGTACAGTGCTTTATATAAGACAAATGCGTAATAACTATTATTTTTCACTTTCCTTCAGTTTTGTTTCAATGACTTAGGCAGTTCCTCTCTCATGATGATACAATACTTCTTTTAGCTAGCATAGATGTCAATCAAGAGTGTTTAAAATAGTTAGTGTTCATATGTTCTCACTTTCCTTAGAAACAGGCCTGTGTGAATTCATCACATGGTATTTCTTTAGTTCTTAATAATAATAGTTGGTGTTCTGGGTAGTCCTTAATTCTATAGTAATATTTCTTTTCTTTTCTTTTCTTTTTTTTAAAGATTTTATTTATTTATTTGACAGAGAGAGACACAGCGAGAGAGGGAACACAAGCAGGGGGAGTGGAAGAGGGAGAAGCAGGCTTCCTGCCGAGCAGGGAGCCCGATGCGGGGTTCAATCCCAGGACCCTGGGATCATGACCTGAGCTGAAGGCAGACGCTGAATGACTGAGCCACCCAGGCACCCCTCTTTTTTTTTTTTTAAAGATGTATTTATTTACTTGAGAGAGGAGTGGGTAGGGGCAGAAGGACAGAGGGAGAAACTCAAGCAGACTCCCCATCGAGTGCGGAGCCCGACATGGGGCTCGATCCCACAACCCCAAGATCATGACCTCCCCTGAAATCAAGAGTCAGACACTCAACCCACTGAGACACCCAGGCACCCCATCTGTAGTAATATTTCTATTAATGAAAAGAATTCATTCTAATGAAATAGATGATGTCAGAAATTTTGTGAGCAGAAGTAGAAACAATAAACAAACACAATATGGCTTCCCTTTTCACTTCCCAATCTTGGTCATAGATTCTATCCTCCTCTGTGGGTTAGATAACATCTGACTTTAGTACAGGATGGGAAGACTCCAGCATGTCTTTTGGATGGTTCACTGCCCAGAAGCTCAGCATCTACCCCTGCTCTTGACTAAGTAGCCTCTTGACCCTTCTTGATAACCAGTTAACAAGAATCTGAGGGGTGGTGGCTACTCTTCAGATGGAACCAAGTTTCTGATCTTTCTAACCTGACTACCCATTTCACATGTCCAATATGTTGAACTGGTGTTGGCTAGTTGGGTGGATATCTAGCACTCTCTGAGGACACCATCTTTTTTTCACTGAAGGGAGCCCAAGCAGTGATGAGGAGCCATTGGCCCAGCTTAGACCAGTTAGATAGTTCTCAGTCAGAGGAGAGCTGTCACAGTGAGGGCTCCATGACCACTATGAAAAGCTTATTTACACATAAATGTACATTATTTTATATGTTGAAATTGTTAAAATTAGAAATGTAGAAGCATGTGACTTGTGGTGAAGACAAGCCATGTCACTCACCTGCCCAGGCTGTTCACAGGCTGTCTGGTACCTGGCCTGCTGACACAATTCTTTGACCCTCTCATATTTGGGCAAGTGATTTGACTGTTGGATATTCTTGCTGGATTCTTCTTTCTTACGTAAAAACTTCCTTTGACAGAAAAGAATAAGTTTTTGATGTGAGAAATGACTTGATTTACCCACCCAGCATCTTTTGCCTTTTCTCTTTTTCTCCCCTGTGGCATGACTCCACATTCTTCAAATGGCATGAAATAGATGGTAAGATCTTATCCACAGGAGCTCAACATTTGCTGAGTCCTTTGTGAAAATTATAACCCGGGCACTATGAAGAATGATTATCTCCCTTAAAGCATTAATTTCAAAACTTTGGGCATAAATGTTTAGCTTTACAGTCATATAAATGCTTTTTTCTCAATGTGTGTACAGAAAAAAACAAGACAATGAGGATTATGAATCAAAAGGGGAAACCCAGACGCGATTCTGGAAATGACAGTGTCATATATTTGTGTTTAAAACTAGGAAAGGCACTTAAGGAAAGGAAGGAGAAAGGAGGGGGCCAGGCAGGACTTCGGAAGGAAGGCTGAGAAAGTCAACTGGTCCGATTCGGACCCCGAGGTCGAAAAAGCAATGGTAAGGGCTTTGGTCCCACCGTATGAGAACTTATGTTTAACAATTCTGATGCAACAATTATTACTGTGTTGGTCAGTGGAGAATGAGTAGCAAACCATTCAGTCTTGTGACTAGGCTTACGAAATCTGCGTGCTTAGTAAACCGGAATAAGGGGGAAAAAATACCCAGCAGGGAGAGCTGCCCACTAGGCCTGGTTCCCAGAAGCGCCCCAGGAACCAGTAATTACCCTCTTTCCACGAGGAATGTATCACGCCAAATTCTGGCTTTCTTGTTTGTTCGAAACCTGAAAGCAAAATAATAATATTTACTGTTGGCATCTGGACGTTTTTCCACATGGATCTGTGCTCACAGTTTATTTAAAGAAACACCTCTCACTTCCCGCAGACCAAGACTGCATCTCCATCAATACACTGTTCACAAACAGCCGAGACAGTCCCGGCTTGCCGTGATTCTCCTGGGCAAGGCGTACTCTCAGCTGCTGGCTGGCTCTGGCTGCCGGGGTGCTTGGGGCTGGCTGAGGGAAAGCAAATTGACACACCTGTTACCTGGCTTTTCCAGGTCCAGAAGTTTGAGGACGGACTTGCCGTCCACATCGGGAGGCGTGTCGAGCCCAGCGATGTCCAGGATCGTTGGGGCCAGGTCGATGTTGAGAACGATCTGTGGGACTCTGCAAAGGGACAGGTGGTTAGGCCCCGGATCTAACACCAGTGGGGGTGGCATGGAGGGCCACTTTCTCCGCACCGAGACTCATCGGCCTTCAACCTTCTCCCCCTCTATCTTAGTCCTTCACGCATAAAACCGTCTAACCTACATAAGACAATTCCCACAGTGTTTCCAATGAGCTGAAGAGACATAATAACCTTCTTCCAGGAAACCCTTCTACTAACATCACCTTCTTCCTTCTTCCAGGATGTAGTGCAATGGAACAGCAGAGGAGGCGCCCGGACGAGGTTCAGAACATCCGGGTTCTGGGCCCCAACTCGGCCACTTCCAGATTCGGGGACTCTGATAGAGGCACGTGTGCTGTGCCAAGCTTCTTCTGTGTTAGATCAGGAGTCCGGGCTGGGGGCACCTGGGTGGCTCAGTGGGTTAAGCGTCTGCCTTCGGCTCAGGTTGTGACCTCAGGGTTCTGGGATTGGGCCCGTGTGGGGCTCCCTGCTCAGGGGGGAGTCTGTTTCTCCCTCTGTCCCTCTCCCTGTTCGTGCTGGCATGTCCCCCCCCCAATAAATAAATAAAATCTTAAAAAAAAAAAAGACGTCTCGGCTGGATGCTCTTTAAGGGCCATTCCCAGATTTGGAATTCCACTTGCATTCTTTTCTTCAACTCTTTCCATAACTGTTTCATGTACACAACCTTATTTTACACAGAATATTGTGATGTGGCCGGCAGGGCATGTAAAACTCATTTTATAACGGGAAAAGAGCTGCAGAGGGAGGTAGTGACTTGTCTAAGGTGGCAGAAATAGAACGCCAGGCCTTTAGGCCTTTTTTCTTCTAAAAGAAAATCATGCTTTTTAAAATTTCATTTTCTTTAAAAAAATTACTTTAGTAATAATTTAAAAAAAAGCAACTAAAGGCAGGCACTGTTTTTTTTTTTTTTTTAAAGACAGTGTTTGTCTGATTCAAAGAAGTACAGATGATGTGTCCCTAATGATCACATTCTGTCTGTGTGCACAGGCCATGGGACGGGGATTCTGGTCCGTTTGGCAGAATTAGTCATTGATAGCTAATTTTCCTTTCTCTTTAAATAGTATACTTTAGTTAATGTAGCATGTGGTAGGGGGAAAAAAACAAGGTTTTCATTTCCTAAATTACCAACCTCCACCTACCTACACCCTTTTCTGTTTTGGATGAAAAGAAACCAGACCCTGAGATTGGTAATCTAATTATCTCAGATATACATGAGCCACGGCAACTGAATGTTGCAAGCAGAGAAATACGTACATGGATCCTGGTTCTACACTTGGACCACGAATAAAGAAGGGCACACGGATATCAAAGTCATATGGCATGGATTTCCCCTTGACCAGTCCAAACTGCCCAATATGGTAACCGTGGTCGGCGGTATAAATGATGTAAGTGTTCTCCAGCTCCCCCGTCTCCACGAGCATATTAAACAGCTGAAATACAACGGAGACAAAATGGGCAAGTTGACAATAGTGTTGCTGCGATTTCCCCCGAAATTCTTCCCCATTATTTTTTAAAGGCAAGAGTCACTTTAACAAGGCTAAGAAACATGGTCACTACCTACGTTTTCTAGTTGCTTACAATCCTGGAGGGGAAAAGTCTAATAATGGAGTAATGTAACTCATTTGAGTCTGGCACATTGTTCTTAAAGGTTTTGGGCACCTATTTAAAAACAAAAACAAAAACAAAACAAACTCCACAAAACAGCCTCTACCACCTAACTTACAGGTTTTACTTTGAAAAATCCATTGTTAAAGCAAATTTTATCACCACTTTTATATAGTTATCAAGGGTTAAGAACAGGCTGCTTTGGAGCCTGACCCAACTGAATCCAGCCTTTAGGCATGTTTTGTTTGGCTTCTGTGGCTTTTTTTAAAATTCAGGATATTTCAAATAAAATGCTTGTATTTCTGGTTTCCTTTGAAAAGTCAGAAGATCTCATGATATTGGATCTATTTTCCTACATGGCAAAAATTAGCTGGAGCCCAGTAGTTGCTCCTTGTTATAGATGTGGGCGTTTAAAGTTCACCATAATCCCCACCATGCCCTGTTGCTTTATATGAGACCAGCTTTAGGTATTTACATTATTTGCCTGATTCTTGAAGGTATTGTGAGTGTAGCTCTTGACTTATGGTGTTTTGATTTTTATCTCCTCTTTGCCTCTGGCTCCAAAGAACCAAGTCTGGAGAGGTAATAGAAGGGGTCAAGATAAGGGAAGGAAGATAAAGTCACTCAACACACACTCACGTACACATATTCACACACACGGACTCTCTCCTTCTCTTAAAAACAGCAACAACAAAACAAAGACAGAATTAGCAAGAATGGATCTACACCAAGGAAGGTGGACCAAAACCTGTCACTGAGGCAAGTTCGTGTGCTTACCCTTTCCACAGAATCGTCCACTGACATCAAAGTCTGAAGCCTTTTGCGATGTAGAACGTTTGTAAATTCCATGTGGATGGGCAGCATGGGTCCCGTGTACTGCATAATCCAGTGCTTATCCATATTTGGTGCATAGTTATAACTAGGGGTTCTGAAAATATCCAGAAAGGATTCTTACTATATGTATTTTTAGTCAGTTAGAGAAATATCTCAAGTTGAAGGTTGTGAAATAATCATGTAGGAAAGGTAATTTAGACATTGCTATTTTTTTCTCCCATGTGTCTTCTGTGTTTATAAGAAGAGCTAAAATCTTCACTACCCCAAATATCACACATCCCCTAAAGGCATATGGATTCAGATTTATAAAACCAAGACAGAGAGCTAAAAAGGTAATTAGTGCAAGTTCATTTGGATTCGTTGAAGAAAATGTGTAAAAAGACATCAAGATGATCATGGTATTGTAACACCTACAGATAAAATTCAGTAATACGGAAGGGAATGTTTTCATGGTGATGTTAACTCATAAAATTTTGTAGTTAATTAGGCTATTAGATATAGTCACAAATATGTGGAATAATGAATCATAATTTCAACATTTTTTTCTCTAATCTCTAGTCTATGAGTTTTTCTTATTCCTAACTTTGTATATAGATACCATTAATTTAATAGGATATGCTGGAATTAAAACCAAGTCTACTTCTGCAATATACATGCTTATCAATAAAGCTATTCTTTTTATAGACAATTCAATACAGGTGCAGAGCACAATTTTTGTTAAGTACAGCGAGGTGGGTCCTATTCCTCTTGAACATGTGGGTTCAAGCCTATATTTAAATTATCGCAGAAACTCAAGTGGTGTCTCATACATTCCATTGGGGGCCCACAAAATATATTGCCTTCTTTTTGAAATCTAACCCAAATCCCTTGACCATTAGATGCTGCCACTTCATACTCCTAGTACATGTCTATGCTAGAGTAATTCTCACACTGAGAATTATCTATTTATATTTGACATCTCCTCCAGACTACAATGTACTTGACCCTTCTCCTTAGATGTTATTAAGCATGTAGAAGTTGTTTAATAGTAAAAACTTAGTATTTACCATGTGTTGGGTATTGTGCTGTTTTGCATACATTAACTCATTTAATTATCTCTGCTGTTCTTGGAAATCAGTTTATCATTCCCATTTTAAAGATTTTATTTATTTATTTATTTATTTGACACAGAGACACAGCAAGAGAGGGAACACAAGCAGGGGGAGTGGGAAAGGGAGAAGCAGGCTTCCCGCTGAGCAGAGAGCCCGATGCAGGACTCTATCCCAGGACCCCAGGATCATGACCTGAGCCGAAGACAGACGCTTAACGACTGAGCCACCCAGGCACCCCTCATTCCCATTTTAGAACTGAGAAAACTGAGGCTTAGCAAAGTTAAGTAACTTCCTCAGATTAACAACCATGACTCAATTCCAAAGCCCATTTGTTCTAACTAAATGAAAGAAGAGGGAAGTGTGGTGTGCTTCCTATGTCTCAGACTACTTTTCATAGGAACCACAACTTTACAAATAACTGGTCTCACAGAATAAGCAACAATCTATGTTGGTTGAGAAATCGGATAGCCAGTGTCTGCTCTGGGGAGGGTCTTATCAGTGAAAAATGGTGGATAATGACAAGGTAGGTGACCCTGTGCCATCTTTTATATTATAAAACTAGAGAAATAGGGGTGCCTGGGTGGCTCAGTTGGTTAAGCATCCAGCTCTTGATTTTGGCTCAGGTCATGATTTCAGGGTCCTTTTACTTGGGATTCTCCCTCTCCCCCACCCCCCAGCTTGCTCTCTCTCTAAAATAAAAATAAATTAAAAATAAATAAAATCTTAAAAAAACAAAAACAAAAACACCCTAGAGAAATAGTCACTGTGAGCCCAGTGAATTCAGGGGCATTGACCGTGTACTCCTCTGGTTTGCTCTAGAGCAAATTTCCCTTGGGGTAAACCTGGAGTTTCTGAGCTACATGATTGTATACTGGGCTATTTCCATGCATGCTGAACTATATAAATGCTGCCTGTTGTTATATTTTTTCTTCTGCCAGTGCATTTGCAGAACCTCTCTTTTGATAGTTGAAAATGCTGTCTTGGTACCATTGAGCTTCTTGGCACAAAAGAAGGTCACATCATATCCTAATGATCAAAATGGATCATTAGGTTGGATGCTGGTTAACTAGCAGAAATACAACAGCATAAATACCAATATAATATCAAGCACAGAAGACACTACCTAAAACTGTATAAAGGGGCAGATTTGCAGAGTAGGAAAAGCAGGTGTGGTTCACTTTGCTCATCTGTAGATGGGGACAATAGTATCTTCCTTAAAAAGCTCTTTTGAGGAAAAACAAATCTCTATCTATCATCTCTCTCTCCATCGATCATATTTATTATCTATCTCTATATCACTTAAAAGTGCCTAGAACAGAGGCACATGAGTTTCCTACATAAGCCAATAAACAAATACATTCTATATAAGTGTCTGGGTTGAAAAACCCTGTCGCTTTAAAAACCAAACAAGCTCTTCAGGTATCACTTGCCATTCTCTCTTTTTTTTTTTTTACGAGAAACTTTCAACATAAACTTTCTTCTGCTTACCCAGTAAATGAGTCATGAACCACTTGGTGCCATGTTTTTGGCCTGAAAGTGTTCCTCATATCTAAGAGTGAACACGGGCGGAATCAGCCTCTTCAATCTCAGGAGCTCGTGCGGTAGGAAAGAATGTAAGCCCTGTTTCTTATTCTTCACGCAGCATGTCATGGTACAAACAGCATTAGATTGAGAAGCTGAGGAGGATGAGAGGAGGGGGCTTCTAAACCCCATCGGAGAGGGATTTTCACCTGTGGGGGTGGCCAGAGGTCAGAAAAATATAGCAAGTGGGCCATGAAAGGTCCCCTAACCATTTACTGATATGTGCCCTGAAAAAGAATATGGCTATAAAAGATTACACAGGGTTTCTTTGTAATACCTAAACATCTTCCTCTAACTGCCTTTGATGTTGGTTTGCCTTAATTTTAAAATAAATCGGGTTGACTTTTTTAAAGCCACAAAACCTCAACACAAATAAAAATTAACAATAGGGAACCAAAACAAAGGCTCACAGTGGGCAAATGATATATTCTACCAGATACCTTGATGAGCTTGGCATAGCTCCACCTCACTTTGAGGAACAGGGAAGGTCGCAGCAAATTACAAGCCTCAAAATTGGACTCCCGGATTTACAGAATGACATATGTGAAATCTGGCTTATATTAAAAGGGAGAGTTCAGGTCTGTTGTCAAAGCTGTCCTTCCCCACCCCCAACCACCTCCCCCCACCCTGAATTTCTCCAAGTGGGAGCTGACCCCCAGCTCTGGGGCCGAAATCCCAGGTGGGATCTCAGCAGGGGGCAAGGAGGGGGGTATGCATTTGCCTTTTAAAGGAAGACAGACTGCCCCTGCTTCCCACAGAACAGCAGCTGTTCGGGGACCTGCAGGTGGAAGGTTGGGGGTCGCTGGAATTGACAATGTTGTTGAAAAGTGATCTTTCGCCAAAGACCTGCGGTTGCCTCCTGCTGGGGTCTGCCAAATTCCTGGAAGATGCAGCCTTCTGTCTCCCAGCGATAATTAAGGCTTGCTTCCCTAAGAATTGACTCACAATGACTCAAACAGGGCCTGGAGGCCTCCCCCACGAAAACAGCCACTGAGAGGAGCAGCTAACTATTTTGGGGAGAAGTAGAAAATCACACGTCCCATTGTTCCAGAAGGTTTGGGGATTAGAACTGAAATCTCATCCCAGCCCCGTTACTAGTGTGTGATCTCGGGCAACTTTTTTTTTTTTTTTCCTCTAAGCCTCTGTTTCTTCATCTGTATAATGGGAATAATGACTTCAGAGCTTTGGGAAGGTTTAAGGAGATTTCAGTGACTCCAGAGAACAAATCCACATATTCATACCCATCCGCACAGGGAGCTGGGAAAGATCTTATCATTTAATAGCTCTTTGGATTGCGGTGGCAACCCTGAGGACACCTTATTCCCATTTTACAAATGAGAAAGTAAAATGTACAGAGGTGGCTCAGAAATTCTGTCCTGAGGCCGGAGTGCCTTCCATGGCATCACAACCACCAGAGTCCTGCACCTCAGTCCCCAAGAAGTGCCTCAAAATCCCAGTCATTCAGAGATCTGATACATACATTCCTTTCTCTCAAAACTAAGTCCTAAAATCCTCAGGCTTCGTCCTGATTGAAAATACTAGCCTTGGGCGCCTGGGTGGCTCAGATGGTTAAGCATCTGCCTTCGGCTCAGGTCATGATCCCAGGGTCCTGGGATCGAGTCCCGCATCGGGCTCCCTGCTCCTTGGGAGCCTGCTTCTCCCTCTGCCTCTCTCTCTCTCTCTGTCTCATGAATAAATAAGTAAACTCTTTAAAAAAAAAAAAAAAGAAAATACTAGCCTTTTCTGCTTCCCATTCAAGTGCTTCCCACCAGCTGCCCGAAGTCTGCTTTTGCTGACAACACAAGATAAAGTCCGACCCTCCAAGGCAAACCGGATGCATCAGCGAAAAGACAGGTAACACTGGCTCTTTGCTTGAAAACTGAGAGGACAGATGACTAAATTGTCGTTTTTAAGTTTCTGTTGCTTTAAAAAAAAAAATCCACGTTGGGGTTACAGTTGCATGTGCCTGATCTGGTAAGAATCCTTGTTGTCCATTCCGAGAAGGATTTTACCCAGTACCTGTTCATTCCAGGCCTTACACTCTCCCCAAAACATAGACTGTTCTCATAGTTAAAAATGTTAACTTTTCCCCGGTGAGGCTTCTCTTCTCTGCATGTTGCTTTTTCTCCATGTTTGGATTTATTGCTCAGCACTAGATCACAGATCCTTTCGACCACACATTTGTGACTTCAACCTTTGCCATCAATGCCGATGCTCTTTGGGCTTTGATTCTCTCTCCTCTACTGCTTATTGGCATAAGGAGAATACGAATCCTGAAAATCAATAATGTCATCTTTCTTTTTGATGGGTGGGTATTTGGGGAGAACAATTCTCACTGGAAGAGAAACGGTTTTAAGAAATGCATGTGTTGTATATTAAATCCATATTCAGGGAATTGCAAAGAACTTAGCAGTTCATTTTT